AAAAAAAGGGAATGTATCGCCATGCATGGCCGAGATTTACAAACCGAATTCGGGGAAACCAACATCGAGGGGTCAATATTCAGACATCAACACACGCTCTTCGGCTGGATTTATCGTCGAGCTTGCATCGCGGGAATGGCTAAACATTAGTGGAGGCGTGCACCGCAAAAGCCAATGTCCATTCGAGAGTGGCAAAGTTTGAATTTTCAGAATGGCATACGAGGTCGAAAAGGCGTTCGATAAACTACGCCTCAACACGAAAGCATGGTTCACCTTGTACAGAGGGTGCGTTGTGAGGCCGAAAATAATCTTGTATGGAACTGCACTTGACCTTTTTCTACCTCAGTCGGTTGTTGTTGATGATTTTTGAGGGGAGGGGGTGAATTCATCGCATATTCTTTTTTATCCACGATATGTACACTACCGCCCCCTGTAATAAGGTCCTTCAGACTCCACATATCGTGAGAAATAATCCCATGAATTATGATTTCGAAATCTCGCCGCACCCTCAAATAGTAAAATCCACATAGGTCATCCCAAAGCCCACCAATTGGCTATATCTTGCTAACTTTTCTCAATATTATGTATTTAAAAAAAGGGGAGGTCAAGGGAGTTGTAAGGCTGATTGTCCACAAGAAAGTTTATGGTGCTACTTTCAGCAATGCATTGCTACTTGGTAAGCTACAAAATCACAGGGAATGGCGTCTATTATGTGAACTATGGAGGAGTAATAACCTAATTATAAACCAATGCAATAGAGAAAATCGCGATCAAAAACTCAGAAACTAAAATTATATCGCTTCGCACGCATTTCCTGAATCCATCAAGGATCATGGAGACCTGAAAGGAACTAAGGTCATGAGGTTTGACAAGAAAGCCTCTCACAAAGAAATATATGTGTGATTTTGATATGAAAACTCGAAAGGAAACGGTTATAGTGGAAGGCAAAATAGATAAATTACGAAGAAAGAAAAGGAAATACAACAAGAAAATGATGCGCTTTTACTTTCAAACCCACTTCTGTGTATAAAGAGAGGAATGGCTAGAGTGGTAGTTTCCATGTTCATAAATAGGCTCCCTTACAAATTTCCCTCCTGATCATTTTAATACCTAACGTCAGGATTAGTTAGCGCCTCTGGTTAACACTGAAATGTATGCAAAAAAAAAAGGAGGAAAAATGAGGGGAAATAAAAAGGTAGGGAATCGGTTGTTAGAACGTCCCACATGTGGCTACGGCGCACCATCCCAACAGCCGATATGTGCACCCTACACAGTTGCCTTTAAATTTTGAAGTGAAGAGGAAAGAGCAAAACGACTTTTTATCTCAGAATTTAGCACAGTCTAAACTATACCACGCGTAAAAGCCACTTCGGCACATCCCTTGTATCCGCCCTAGAAAAAAGAAAAAAAAAAGAAAAAATATATATCAAAAAGGTCACGCAACAGGTAACATCCCTCGATTAAATAAGCACGATTCATAACCTTTAGACCAAAAAACACAGAAAATTGATTTACCGTGTAGAAAGCGGCCCGACAGCATGGGTATTCGCCGCTCCCATCCTATCGCAACCACCGGCATATATGTATATATAGAGAGCGAGAGAGATTCGCACCTAAATATGAAGAATGGTCGTCATGCATCGATTATAAAAACTCGATCCCGAGGCTCCCTGTTGGTTAGCAGTATTCCCCCCCGTAGGAATTCCCCTTCTCAGCGAAGCAGATGAGGCCAGTCGGGGGGGCTCGTCACCTCCTTTGGGGCTTTCTCCGCGCGTGGTTTTGTCAGGGCCCTCACCCGCACCCTCGCGGCCCCCTCGAAGTGCGGAGGGAAGGGGTAGGTCAGGCCCAGGCGGTCCACCACCGCCATATACTCCAGCAGCCGCGCCTTCGTCGGGAGCAGCTCCGCGAGGAGGCGCTCGACCTCCGCCTCCTTCTCGCGGAGGCGCTCGGCCTCTGCCGGGGGCAAAAAAGGGGCGGCGGACCCCCCCGCCATGAGCGCCGCGTTGGCCGCCTTCAGCGCGATGTTCTCCGAGCGGAGGAGGGCCACCTCACGCTCCGCCTCCCCCGTCGAGGAGGA